GAACTATGGGAAAGTGTAGAACAGTATTTTATGCACAGCTTTGTTAGCCTTTTTTATTTAATGTGAAGGCATTTTGTGCAACGATTCCAAGTGACCACAGTTTGAGCAAGTGCTGTTGTAAATGTTGCTGTAAATTTTAAAAGAGGAAAATAGGAGTTTAGTACGTTAGGAAAGCACCGCCACTCCTCAGCTACGTCATGAAATGTCCGTTACCTTTACTCACACTGACCTATTCTTTACTTCTTCTGCTTTGTGCCAGAAGAGCAGCAGTCTGACCCTTTGGGGACGCCACCCTCTCCCCTACTGTGCTCTCGAACCTGAGGCAAACTTTGTCCTACTTCCCAGAGCCTCTCAGAAGGGGTGAGGTAGCCTGCTTGGAATCCAGAACCATTTTCAGAATCTTGAACTCCTGCAACCTCTCATGAGGTTTTTGACTTCTGCTTCTTCTCTGAACCTTAGTACTGGCCTTGTGCCTAGCACATCTCGGGTGCTCAGTCACTACTGAACTAAACTGAAAACTGTCTCCTGGAGAAGTCTCTGACCACGTCTATTAATATCCCAGAGGCTCATGCTGTCATTCTTATGATCTCAAATAAGTCAGCCTCTTTATCTGTCACAGCTCCCCTGTCCTACCTTTCCTTACCATCTTGGACCCTTCCTATTTCCTAACAGATCTTTTTCTCACATTCCCTTCCCTTCTAAGAGCTTTCATTTCACCTTCTCCTCTAGTTTGTCATACTCTGCCTTTAAAATCTGCAAACATGTACCTTATGGAAACAAAACAACTTTTAGTTTACCTTGCCTCTCCTTCAAAAATGTACTGTGACTTCTTTTTATAGTCCAAATCCCAAAATTCTATACCCACCCACTGCATCCAACTCCTCATCATGAAGGTAGCATTGGAAGGAAAGGCAAAGACAGAGTGCATGCCACTCCCAACTTCTCAGAAAAGTAAAGTTGGTGTTCCAGCTTAAAACAACAACTATTTCTTTATATTTCACAGTTTTATGGGTCAGGAAATTGGGCAGGGCTCAGCTGAATGATTCTTCTGTCTTGTTGACATTGATGATGATTACTTGGTAGTATTCAGCTGGCAGGTGGGTTTATCTGAAGAGTCCAAGATAGCTGCACACTCATGTCTGTTGCCTTGGTGGGGAGGGCTAGAAGTGCCTATATGGGACCCCTCCAGTATGACAGCCTCAGAGAAGTTGTATTTCTTACATGGTAGCCCAGGGGTCCAAGTGTTCCAAGTGAATAAGACAGAAGCTGAAAGGACTTTTATGATCCAGCCTCAGAAACAACATAGCATCAGTTTTGCCTTATTCTATTGGTCAAAGCATTCACAAACCTGCCCAGATACAAGGGGAAGGGACATGGACCCTCACCCTTTGATGGGAGGAATTCACAACTATGCTTTAAAACCACTACAGATGGAACCACTGTGAAAGATTCAGGGGCAGGGTTGGGTTGTGGGTTGGGGATTAACTGGTTGATAGCAGAGGATCACTAGAGTTAGCAAGGAAAAATGCCCCCCTCTTATACATTTAGTCATACTATACCGAACATTCTCAATCTCTGCTTAGACATCAACCTCATAACCTAATAACTCCACCATAGCTGCACTCCCTAAGATGACCAACAATGTTAGAGCCAAATCCAACAGGCTTTTCTTTGTTTTTGTCCTCTTTTGACATTTCATTTAAACTTCACACTTGACCCTTAGTCAAAACCCTACCCTTCCTTATTTTTTTTTTTTTTTAAGCATTGAGTCTTTTTCGTGTGTGTGTGAGGAAGATCAGCCCTGAGCTAACATCCATGCTAATCCTCCTCTTTTTTTTGCTGAGGAAGACCGACCCTGAGCTAACATCCATTGCCAATCCTCCTTTTTTTTTCCTTTCCCCAAAGCCGCAGGAGATAGTTGTATGTCATAGTTGCACATCCTTCTAGTTGCTGTATGTGGGACGCGGCCTCAGCACGGCCGGAAAAGCGGTGCATCGGTGCATGCCCGGGATCTGAACCCGGGCCGCCAGTAGCAGAGCGCGCGCACTTAACCGCTAAGCCATGGGGTGGCTCAAATACCACAGCCATTGAGTGCCTCAAATACCACAGTTCCATGACTGGATACTCTATTTCTTTTCCTAACTTTACCTTTGACAAGGCCATTTGTCCCAGACCATAACTGTGGGTACCCCTATGGCTTGGCCCTTGACCCCTTTTCCTAGTCCCACTGTACTTCCTCCCACGTAAAGTGCACCTTCTTTCATCACATCCATATTGCTGACTCCCAAATACCCCCCAGCTCTGATTTCTTACTCTCTTCGCATATTATACGTAGTTTCCTATGGTAGCTCTTTGCCTATGATAAACACCCTTCTCTTCAAATAATTCCAAGACTTTAAAAGCTGATCTTATCTTCTTGCCCCTAAAATCACCTCCCCTTACCAACTGCCTTATAACAACCAGCGGGCACCATCGCTGAGCCTACTACGCATGTTCTTAAACTTAGAGTCATCTCTGAAAATCTTTGACTCCATATCCAATCCTTCATAAAACTGTATTGTCTACCAGATTAAATGTGACATTTATTTGGGAGCACTTTACAATCTGTAAAGTACTACACAGGCATGAGGTGACAGCATGAAGCTACATTCAGAATAGATTTTCAGGGTTGGCTCTCATTTGGCTTCTACAGCTTCATGTCTGTTATGAGAGGTTTGGGGATTTGATCGGAGACGTAAAAGACACTCTCCACTCCAAACAAATGAACTGAAGGTATATTTTATTATATAGAGGATAGTAAAGGTGAGAGTCTGCAAACAGATCCGAATAGGTCAAATATTAAGAGGGAAAAAACATCAGCTCGACTGGAAAGGGAAAACATCCACATCAGCTGAAGAGAAATGACACAAATCAACCGGAAAGAGAAACAACAGGTTGACCGAAAAGAGAACACATCACATCAATTACTTCATATCAAATCAACTACTTCACATCAAATCAATTACTCACAATATCCACACCCCACTGCCGGGAGAGTCTGTCAATCGACGCAGCTGGGCAAGGATCACACGTCCTGGGCAAGGCGTCCGTCCCTTCCACAGGTGGAACTCTCACCAGGTCTCAGTTTCCAGCAGTTTTTATACCATCAATAATTTTCAGAGTAAGCAATTACAGAGTTTGCAGAGCAAGCATTTAGTGTTTCCATGCACAAATGGTTATCAGTGGCGTACGTGCACTGAGCCCCCTGGCTAACGTCCCAGCCCAGTAATTGTGTACGTGCATTGTTCTCTCTGGTTATCGTCCTAGCCCAGCACAGATGGCCAGTCCGTCCCGCGCTATGACGCCCAAAGAGCCTTGAAATGTTACAACTTGCAACTCTTTCCATGGGAGAAAGGCCAGTTCCCGGGAAAAGGCCAGTTCCCACCACACAGAAAGCAGCGTTATATTTCTTTGTGCGCTGGTGGCCATAGGTCAATGGAGCGGCCAAACATGACTGTACTCATGTTAAGACAATGTCTTACCAGCAGCTTACCCTGCCTCTCTCCTTCTTCCCCATCCTCCAGTTTCCCAGTCAGGCCAACAGAACGCATTCCCATATAGTCACCCTGCTTTCCCCAACATCTTTGCCTTCATGCATGCCATTTACTTGCCTCAAGTGCTCTTTATTTCAACAGGTGTTTGCAGAGGAGAAAACCCACAGTCTCCTCCTTCCCCTCTCTGTTTATCCAGAGCCCATCCTACCTTTAAGGTTGACTTCCTCAAGCATGATCTCCCTTGAAGCCCCTTAGGAATGGCTTCTTGTACAGTACACATAACCTGGTCTTAAAGAGGATTTGGAAATCATTCCCTAGGAGCTTCACGTCTTATTTTTCCTGTTCCTGGACCAAAAGAATAAATGCACGCTCAAAATAAATCTTTGCACAAGGCTAGAAGGAGGAAAAGCTCCTCCCACAACGAATACACATTACAGTGTTTAACCTATCACTATAATTGGTAAGTTAGCAGCAGGATTTCATACCGAGGTAGCTCTGGAACCACATTCTACACAGACGGAAGCAAAAGTGGGAGTAAAGACGAGTAGCCCAGGGTCACAGAGTAGGTAAGCTGCAGAGCTGCACCTGGAGCCAGGTGATATACCTGCCACTGTCCTTTCCTCTGCTCTCCCCTAAGAAATGGAATTGAAAGGAGCAATAAAAGGAGCCAGTGCTCTCCCCCTTTGTATGGCGGTTTAGCAACTTACTATTTGCCTTCTAGTGTGTCTATGATCTCAGTTGACATTCTCTTACAAAAAGTTCAAAAGAAACACTTTATTTCTTTTAAAAGTTCACAGTGTTCTTGGTTTCTGCCTGGGATTTTTCCAGGATTTGGTGGTTGGAAATGAGAAAGGAGGACGAGAAGTTAAAAGGAGAGGAGAGAGGAAAAGGAAGTCGAGCCGGGAGAGTGCCTGCAAGGTTTCTGGGGAGTCAGGAATAAGAGGAGCTCCCCACTCTTGCCTCGGAGAGCTCCAGCTGGGCAGGACCTTTTACCAGGATCACTGCGAGATCGCCCTTGCTTCGGGGAGCCCCCGCCTGCTTCCCTCCCTAGCCCAGGGCGCGCAGCCGAGCTGTGGCAGAAGCCTCGGAGGTGCCAGGCGCTGGAGGTGCCCGCTGCGGTGCGCCCTCCTCGACGTCCCGAGCACAGGGCGCAGACGGCCAGGGGCGCAGCGAGGGCTTTCGGGGTGAAGGGTGACTCTCCAGGCGCGGAGCGAGGAGGGGAGAGCGGGAGGGACCCGGCGCCCCAGGACACGCCCCTCGCAGGTCTCAAGCCCGGGTCTTCTGAGACCTCCAGCGGCGGGCTACATAAGTCACCCGCGGCGGGCGGCGTGCACCGACTCGGCCCCACTCTGCGCTCCGCCTGCTGTGGAGGGCGCGGGCCCCGCCGAGGCTGCCAGCCGCCCCTGCCGCCCTGAAGTCGGGGAGGGCGAGTTTGCTGCCCGCGCCGGCCGGGAGCGCAGAGACGGAGAACTTCTACCTTCCGGGCCGCAGCCCTTCTCCCCTTGCACCGGAGCCTCGCTCCGCCCTGAGTTAGGATGGTGGGGCCCACAGCCTCGGACGCGCCCCCGACCTTGGCGGTGAAGATCTTCTCGGCTGGCGCGGCGGCCTGCGTGGCGGATGTTATCACCTTCCCGCTGGACACGGCCAAAGTCCGGCTGCAGGTGGCGAGCGCGAGGGGGCTGGGGAGGCGTCTAGGGCCCAGAGGGGACGCCTGTTGTGTGCGCCCCTTTGATTCCGGCTTCGGTTTAACCACCGTTTCTCAGTTAAGTAGGGGAGGTGGCCACCTCAAAAAACAGCTTGGCTTGTCACAGGACTGGAGGTTTTAGGGTGGGAAACTGGAACGTTCCTGGGATTAACTGAAGAACCATAAGGGTCACGGAGGATGAGTTGCCATGACTACGGCCAAACTCGCCAAAAGTCAGGGTGCACTAAGTGTTCTCAGAGCTGAGACTATCGGCCTCTCCCGAGTTTACAAGTTAAACTCTTTCTCCTTCTTTCTTTGATTGAGCACGGGCACTTTCCCATCCTACTCCCTTAGGGGTTCTGGAGAGTTCTCGGGGGTAGGGATGGGAATGTTCAAAATGTGCATTCTGGGGCCCGTCCCGGTGCCCAAGCGGTTAAGTTCTGGCACTCTGCTTTGGCAGCTGGCCGGGGTTTGTGGCTTCGGATTCCCCACGCAGACCGACCCACCGCTTGTCGAGCCATGGTGCGGCAGTGTCCCATATAAAGTAGAGGAAGAGGGGCAAGGATGTTAGCCCAGGGTCAATCTTCCTCAGCGAACAGAGGAGGATTGGCAACAGATGTTAGCTCAGAGGTAGTCTTCCTCACACGCACACAAAAAAGTGCATTGTAACCAGATTCTCTCTCAATCTCTCTCCATAGATAGATATAGATATAGATGATTAAATATAGATATATTGGCAGAGATGTTCCTGAGAAGGGAAAAGGAACTGAAAATATGAACACAATGTAAAAAAAATCTTGGCTTAAGGTTTCTCCACAGAGGACAACCTGATGCCAGCCTTCCTTTTTTCCTCACCAGGTAGGACCCTCTTACTCAGTTTTCACTTCCCTCTGACCTGTACCTTTCTCATGTTCAGATCCAAGGCGAATGCCAGGCCTCCACTGCTGTTAGGTATAAAGGTGTCCTGGGAACAATCACCACTCTGGCAAAAACAGAAGGGCCAATGAAACTCTACAGCGGGCTGCCTGCTGGCCTCCAGAGACAAATAAGCTTCGCCTCTCTCAGGATTGGCCTCTACGATACCGTCCAGGAGTTCTTCACCACAGGGAAAGAAAGTAAGCCATGAGCATTCCTGGGAGGGCAGATAGTCAGAGAGACATGTCCTGGGCCAAGCTCTGTCCAAAAAATGTTACACACAGGGTAGTGGTCTTCATAACAAATTGGCAAACCAGCATCAATATTTGAACTACCCCCTCCCCCCAAATTAGCTTGGTACTCACTGTTCATAGAAAGAAAAAGAAGTGTGCAAAATCGAGTTTTCAGATGCAGATTTATACTTGTAAAAATCACCTAGTCTGTCACGGAAGTTTTGCGCCTAATTTGGATGTCTGTCTGGAGAAGATGGATGAGCTGCAAAATAATGTTTAACTCAAAGTTCACCGAACAGCAAAGTCTCACAGAAACACCTGTGGAGCTTGTTAAAAATCCAAAAGCTGAGAACTACCATGTCCCCTGAATCTGAATGGTTCAGGTTGGGACCATGGAATCTTTGGTAAGCTTCCCCAGTAATTTTGGTATGCAACAAATTTGAAACCCTTTGGTTTGAAGAGAAGAAAACCAGACCTCATGAGGAGAGTTGAAAGGACAAGACAAGACTCATTTCCTTTAAGAGGTTCCTTGTAAGGTCTCTAATGCTGGGGAAGAAAGGGAAGAAAAAGTGGACTTAAGCTGCAGTGAGTTTGTTTAGGGGAAGAAGAAAAGGAAACTAATATTTCTTGAGTGCAGTAAATACCAAGAATTTCTGTCAGTTTAGCTAGCGTTTATTGGAGTGCTTCCTATGAGCCAGACACTGTTCTAAGTTCCTCAGATACATCACCACTGGAAAGGTACTATTATTTTTATTCTTTAACAAATGGAAAAACTGAGGCACAGAGCAGTTTTATAACTGGCCCAAGGCCACACAGTTGGAAAGGGGCAGAGCAAGAGTTCAAACCCAGGCAGTCTGGCCTCTGACCCCACGCTCTTAACCACTCTCCTGCCCCCTGTAATTTGCATGTGATTCTGTGCATCATTCAACCATACAACAATGCTGTGACATACAAAGTGTTATCCCCATTTTCAGGTGTGGAAACTGAGTAGCAAAAAAGTTAAGTAATATCAAGACCACTCAGCTAGCAAATATCAGAGGCACTTTCTTGTGGAGCAGACAATCCAGAGAGAAGATGTACTGATGGTAAAATGAATATGATAACTGACTACCTAGGCAGATTTCATCATTTCTGCTTTAAGTAACATTTGGATAACATGACTTTATGGGACAAGTTATAAATACTGTTTATACAAACATATACATTTAAGTTTATCTACACAAGTACTTCCAAAGTAAAGATAAAGCCTGGATGTTTTTAGATCAACAGTGCATTGTCATATTTATAGATGTAGCAAGAGAAGAAACACAGAGGATGTAAAGCTGCTCATTCTAGTGGTTTTCTTCACAATTGACTGTTCTCACAAATTGTTGCATACTTTAGACACCAAATTAATAGGGCATATTTTGGCAGTATTCTATGCTATGCCTATTCCGTTCATTTAGCTAGCTTTATTGAGTAGCCATGAGCCAGAAACTGTATGAGATGCACAGATGACAGATGCTTCCCTAGGCAAGAGCTATAGTTCAGAATGTGGGGTGTGTGGGGACAACAAGTTAATAGATAACTATATGCTGTGACATGTGCTGTGTTAGAAGTAATTACAGGCAGTTGGGCACATGGAAGAGGAATATTTAACCTAGCCTTGGGGGCATGGTTATGCAAGATTTTCCTGAAGAATTGATGTCTGAATTGAGTCTTTTTTTTTTTTTTTTGTGATGAAGATCAGCCCTGAGCTAACATCTGCCAATCCTCCTCTTTTTGCTGAGGAAGATTGGCCCTGGGCTAACATCCATGCCCATCTTCTTCCACTTTATATGGGACGCCACCACAGCACGGCTTGCCAAGCGGTGCGTTGGTGCGCGCCCAGGATCCGAACCGGCAAACCCTGGGCCACCGCAGTGGAGCGCGTACACTTAACCGCTTGCACCACCGGGCCAGCCCTGAGTCTTGAGGGGCCAATAGGGGTAACTGGGCAAAGTGGTGAGGAGAGACCTTCATTAGAGTGAAGGTCATGTACAAAGACTGAGAGAAGAGTGGCGAGAACACACAGGGCAGAGAGGGAGGATGTGCTGGCAAGGAGGGAGAGGTGAAGCCAGAAAGGAGCCAGATCACGAGACCCTACAGGCCATGCTAAGGAATTTGGATTTTATCCTTACACTGATGGGAAGTCATTGAAAAATGTTAAGCAGAGGAGTGGCACAAATAATTTCATTTTCAAAAGATCACTTTGGCCGTAGTATAGAGAATGTATAGAAAAAGGGGAATGAAGGGGTAAGTTAGAAAGTAAGAAATGATGGGGGTATGCTAAAGCAGTGGCAATAAGGAAGGGGAAGAGAGGTCAATCAGAAAGATTTAGGGCCGGCCTGTGGCTTAGCGGTTAAGTGCGCACGCGCTCCGCTGCTGGCGGCCCAGGTTCAGATCCCAGGCGCGCACCGAGGCACTGCTTCTCTGGCCATGCTGAGGCCGCGTCCCACATACAGCAACTAGAAGGATGTGCAGCTATGACATACAACTATCTACTGGGGCTTTGGGGGAAGAATAAATAAAATTAAAAAAAAAGATTTAGGAAGTATAATTGAACTTGGTGGACAATTGGAAGTAAGGCATAAGGGAAAGGTAGGAATATAAGATGACTTTCAAATTTCGGGCTAAAGATATCATTCATTGAGGGAGGGAATACAGAAACTGCCTTAAGGGGGAAGGTAAGATATTCAGTTTAGGATGACAGGTAATGTCCAGTCGGCACGTGAGCTTAGGAGAAATGTCTGGATTCCAAGGAGTCACAGGAGGAACTCTCAGTACGGTCAAACAGAGCAGAGAGATCTAGGGTGGAAAAGTGATCCATGCACCCCACCATAGAAGCTCATGGGTTTCTTTAGTAAAACATCTTCAGCAGAGTAGTGGGGTGGAAACTAGATTGCAGAGGGTTGAGGAGGAAATGGACCATGAGGTGTGAAGACAAAGAATATAGCCTCTCTCCCAAGGAGCTTGATGGGGAAATGAAAAGGGGGCTGGAGGATAGGATGAGTGCATCAAAATAAGATGATAAATGTAGGCCAAGAGTGAAGGGAATTGTAATCACATGATCCTGCCAATTAAAAGATGGTTATCTATTACCTGCTCAGCCCCTGGCCAACCATGATGAGAACAGAGTACAATCATAATAGTAATGAAAAGAATTGCTGCACTTCCTATATGCAAGACAGTGTATTCAGTGCCATATTGGTATTATTTTAACTGCAAGAGAGTGTGTTAAGTGCCATATTGGTATTATTTTAACTCACACAATGACTCTATGAGGAAGACAATATTATCTCCATTTTAGAGGTCAGGAAACAGAATTAGAGAGACTGAGAAAGTCCTTGAGGAACAAATGTTATTGATCCATACTTTATATTTAATTATAGGAATGGGCATTGGGCTCCAAGACTATTTGTAGTTTTATTAAATGATATCTGTCTTGAGTAACCTAAGCTAATTTTTCAAAATTTCAAGTCAAAAATCACTTTATTAGCTTCTTTGTTCTTATTTTTGTCCCTTTTGTAGCCTGACTCCACTTGACACCCCATATCAGGGCAGTTTGTCCGCTTAGGCTTTTCCTAAGACCTCTAAGTCCAGTAATTAACATTATCATTGATGGGAAGGAGACTAAGCATTATTGGTGACTGGTGCCTCCTCCCAGTTGGGAAGTACTGAAAAAGAGAGCTAAATGTAGGAAAGAACTAAGGCACTGTTTAAATAGGCATTATGTTTTCCTTTTCCTTGAAAGTCTTCATTTTTAAAAATTTTGGTCAACATTGAAGTCTTCTAGCTCTACTATAATTTAGCACATATTTAGTACATGATCCACACATGCACAAGCATTAGGGAAGTAGGAAAGATACAAAGACACAACAATATTAACCACTAAAAATTAAAAAGACAGACGCATTCTGGGTCTTGATTTTTTTTCTTTTTTGCTTGATAAATATTTTTTCTCTCTGAATAGCAACAGCTAGTTTAGGAAGCAAGATCTCAGCTGGACTAACGACTGGAGGAGTGGCAGTATTCATTGGGCAACCCACTGAGGTTGTGAAGGTCAGACTTCAAGCGCAGAGCCATCTACATGGTCCCAAACCTCGCTACACTGGGACTTATAATGCTTACAGAATTATAGCAACAACAGAAGGCTTGATGGGTCTTTGGAAAGGTAACTAACTTCAAAGTGGATTTTATAATCATTAAAACACATATATCCAATTAGCATCTTATCATATAATGGATTTATTAAACATTTTCTTTTCCTAGGGACCACTCCCAATCTGACAAGAAATGTCATCATCAATTGTACAGAGCTAGTAACCTATGACCTAATGAAGGAGGCCCTTGTGAAAAACAAACTATTAGCAGGTAACTTTCTTTTTTATATAAAAAATCTAATTTTTAAAATAATTATAAATATAAAAATTTACAATTTCATCTTGGAACTTCCCCAGCCACATTATACTGAATCCTCTAATTGTAATAGTTTTCTCTTAAAAAATTTAAGTACTTTTGAACATTAGATATAACTTTTGAGAAGCAGAAAAAAACCAAAACCCTGAGTTTTTGAAGTTTTGACACAACAAAATTTTTCTGCAACAAAAACAAAATGCAGCTGTATTCTTACATCAGCAATTATTCTCATTTAATACTAACATATGGGATTTTTGTTAGCATCTTATTCTTTATAAAGCAGAATTCAAGGGGTGAGTCCAACCTGCACTGTACCCAAATGAGCTGGTTATATAAGGAGCTCATCAGTGGTTTCATCCAAAGAGTAGTACCATTGGATCTGTTCCTAAAAATAATATTCTAACAGGTTCTAGAGGCATTGAAACTCTCCTTGGACAATGACTTTAATACAGTAAAAAAGTATTAGATGCCTGTGTATCGGGCTTTATGCCATACCCTAAGGGCACAGAGAAAACTGACAGGTTATTTTCCTAAAGCACTTAAAACCCACTATACCGTGTACTATTTGCCGTCTTTTTCTAGCGTAAGTGTAACCTTCCTTATTATATTTTCTTTATGTATCAGACACCCATGTTGACCTCCTGTTATCAACAGCTTTACAAGGATCTGAAAGATAACTAAAAACTAGAAGCCCCTCCCCAAAGTGATGTTGACCTGTTTTATTGATCCATTTTAGATGATGTACCTTGCCACTTTGTGTCAGCTCTTATTGCCGGATTTTGTACAACAGTTCTGTCCTCTCCAGTGGATGTGGTGAAAACCAGATTTGTTAATTCTCCACCAGGACAGTACGCAAGTGTGCCCAACTGTGCAATGACAATGCTCACCAAGGAAGGACCGTCGGCTTTTTTCAAAGGGTGGGATATGATCTTTCATATGTATAATGTTGTGTTCAGGGTATCTGTGTGCTTTGGGACAATGTCTCCTCTAAACAACTGGCATGTAGCTGACCAGCCTTAGTAAATGCAGTGTACTTAGTGTCTACTTTTCCTTGCCATAAATTTCTCCAATCCACCAGTTGTGCTGTGCCTGAAAATTAAAGGCTGTGATATTAAATTTTTCTCAACCTTGATCACAGGCTCATTTGAAATCAGTGACCTCTCCTTGGTCCCAACCTATTGGAAATGTAGACAGTATTTTGCCTTCTCTGGGCAAGAGAACTATAAAGTGGAGAGAAATCATAATGGAAGGCTATGAGAAAATAAGATTCGATTTTCACTATTTTAATTTGATAGACTCCGATTTTTAGATTATATTAAAGCAAAACCAGAAAAAAATCATTGCCACTAATCTAGGAAAGTGATGCAGAAAATGATGTGGTTTGGGTAATTATTATACTCACCTAGAAACCAGTATTGTGTAGTAGATCACATTTTCCCATAAAACAATATTATATTGGAAAATACCTTCCTAAGAAAATACAGTAGGAACTAATTTATGGATATAAGTGTCTGGTTTTGTTTAAACTAGCAATAAAATAACAAAATTCTATAATCCTTTAACATTATAAGATGATGCCTCAAACCTTACAAAATAAGCATAAATGCACCATACACATTACACACAAGGTTCCAATTCACCATAATCTGTACCTATGATACATTAACACAAATGAAATATATTGTAAAATTAACTTAAAATGGATATACCAGTTATGAACCATTAACCATTTAACAATACTTTTTTTTTCAAATTTAAAACCTTTTGGGGATACATGCTACAACAAAGATGAACCCTGAAAACATTATGCTAAATAAAATGAGCTAGACACAGAAGGACAAATACTGTTATGATTCTACTTACTGAAGTAACTTTGTAGTCAAATTCATAGAGACAGAAGGTAGAATGCCAAGGGGAAGGGGTAGTGGGGAGTTACTGTTTAATGGGTACAGAGTTTCCGTTAGGGATGACCAAAAGGTTCTGGAGATGGATAGTGGTGATGGTTGCTCACAAAGTGAATGTACTTAATGCTATTGAATTATACACTTAAAATGGTAAATTTATGTTATGTATATTTTACCACAATTAAAGCGCGCGCACACACACACACACACACACACACACACATCCAGGAGTCAGGAGAAATATGTTGAGACCTAAAAAAAACAAAGAAAAGCCTTTGGAGGATGATTTTTATAGGCCAAGGCAGATTTAATTGATGACATCTTTTTCTCCTGGAATATTTCATTGCTGCCAACAGGCATTCAAAATCAATCATTTGGTCTGCACAGTCTGGTAGAATTCTTAAAAACAACCAAAAAACAAAAACATGCACTTAGCCCCTTGACAGTCTAAGGACAAGAATTGCGAAGACCTAGACAGCCCTCTTTTCTTGACTCTGGAAAATGGTCCACCTACTCTCACTGCTTCTTTGCTTTCTCCTCTTATTTCCTCTTTTAATAGTTTCCTTTCTCCCATTAAGAAAGCAAAGCAAAACAAAACAAAAATTTCCCCTCTTCTCAAAAAAGGAGTTATTGAAAAAGGCCATGTCAGAAAGGATACATGCTCTGGTTTGGTGGGAATGAAGGATGTTTATGTACTTGTATAGGTGTGACCATCTGGGTTTTGTTGTTTAGGAGCAGTATAGGACATGTAGATGACACTTTATTTTACGCAGAGTAGGGGAAGATGAAGAATGGGTACTTTTAAGCATCTTCACGTGAGAAGAGTGGTAAAATGAGAAGCATAAGCTGCCTGTACTGTAATAGCTTTAAGAATTTCAAGCAGACTAAGAATGGTGACATGCACTTTTCCAGATTTGTACCTTCCTTCTTGCGACTCGGATCCTGGAATGTCATCATGTTTCTATGCTTTGAACAGCTGAAGCGAGAATTGATGAAGTCAAGGCAGACCATGGATTGTGCCACATAATCATCTTCAGGAAAAGGATGTAACATACCAGTGGGAATCTCTGCTGACTAGATAATTTAAAGAAAATCTGTTCACTTTATTTCATCCTAAAAAGATAAAGGAATTCTGGTAGAGAGTTGGACTTTTTTAAAATTAATACCCATTTCTTGCAACTTTTATTCTCAGTGTTTTAAGGAGGGGAAAGCAAAACACTCAGTATACACCCCGGCAAATGTAATATCTAGATAAGTTACTGAATTTGATTGACTTTTTTGGGAGGGATGGATTTTATGATTGAATATGAAGAACTTTAACATGTTTTAATTATAATTCAAACTGACGGAAAGGAAAACTGAGTGAAATGCATTTTATATTTATAGATACTTGAAAATGAACAGTTATCAAAGAAAACATTACTGTTTTCTTTTTATTTATTAATCCAGTTGTCACTTAATATATTCAATAAAGTATTGCTAATATCTTTAAAAGTTTGTCTTTTGGGATCTATATGTGAATGTTAGAGTTGAAGTTCACCTAGATTACAGAATTTCCCAATAGCAAGTGAGGGTCTTGAGAATCAATAGGCATAAACCTACTTTAAATGTTATTAGTACAGATTTTTAATTTTTAGAGTCTATATTTTATGGCATCTATAACAACTTCTAATCTAAGACACTATATTCATTTGGGCATTATTATTATTAGAATCATGGTATCCATCCTAGAATTATAGAATTTTTGAGCTGGAAGGTACCTTTGGTTAGATAGAGGAATAGTCTGAGATTTCTACTGAGATAAAAATGAATCTTCATGGTATCTTTCCAGGAGAGTTAAATTCATCATTAACACCTGTAGTAACTTTTTCATGCCTACAATCTGAGTGCAGAAGAGACAGGGAAAGAAATAAGCAAGAGATAAAAAGAAGTATAAGACAAAGCCCAGGCTTGTTTTAAGCCAAAAACAAGGAGTGGCAGCAGAAGGACCAGAAAGCCTACAGGCTGTCAGGCATCCTTCTATTTCTGTTTTAATCAGCTCCACATTACATTTACTGTTGTTTTTTTTTCCCCCTTGACTTCATGAGGTTTTTCTGTGCTTATTTTCCCCAGTTGTTACCTGTAAAAGCATCTTGTAGCAGATGCTTCAGTATCCTGCACTCATCACTTTGCTCTGACCACTTTAAGGCACACTGGCCCGACTTCCTATAGTCATGTCAGCACCTGTATTTTTTAGGTTCTTCTTCTGGCTACCAGAGCCATCTTTGCCTACCTGTGCATGGTACACTAGAAGAGTAGGGAAAATAACACAGCCAGCCCTTGATCAATAACTGATGGGAGTTGGTGTGTAAATCTCTCAAGCCCCTCACCCTCAGGTGGAGTACCTGTGAAGGATCAAAATCCAGTTACACGTATTCTGCTCAGTACAAAAACCCTTTATGGGATGACCTCACTTCCCTCTCAGTTCCCCACTCCCTCATCAGTGTTTCCTGGGATCACCTCCCCAATGAATTGCAAATCCTTGTCTCAAGGTTGATTCTGGGGGAATTCAAACTAAGAAAAACACGACCTTAGGGTGGCATGTTTCTTTCAAGAATAAGGAAGAAAACATAAAACCATTTCTTTGCTGGGGTCCTGCTCAAGCAATGGGCAGTAGTGACAAGATGCTCTCCCTGACCAAACGCCAGTCAGGCTCCTCTGAGCTGCCTTTTTCGGCTAGGTCCCGTCCTTGGGTGTGTCTGCAAGAGCCCAATTTTAGCAAGAATTCTGTTAAATTGGGTTAGCCAGAACCCCTCACCCTCGAAATGTGATCACCCTTGATATCTGTTCTCATTCCTCATCCCTGCCCTTGATATCTGCTCACCAATTCTTTTGGATTTTCTGTGTACACATGCATACCATTATGAACAGTAACTTTTCTTTCTTTCCGTCCGTTTGTTTTACTGCACTAGGTAGGATCTCTAGCACAATTTTGAATAGATGTGCTATGACAAGTCGGATTATTCAGCAAATGTTCACTCCTCGCTCCTTCCTAACACAGTACATTTCCCTGTTCTGTTGATGTTGGGCTTGGCCATTGACTTGCTGTGACCAACGGAACGTTAGTGGACATGATGTGAGCAAAACCTTCAAATACGTTTGAGCAATTGGGCTTGTTCTTATGCTTCTGTCACACCATGAAAAGAGCATGCCTCAGGTAGCCCACTGGTCCCAGATGAATCAGTCACATGATGCTGACCGGAACTGAACTCATGGCCTAGATTTAAGTCCAGCCGAATCCAGCTGAGATTAGCAAAGCTGCCTGCTAGCCTACCCATGTGTTAGGAGGAAATTTTTTGTGTGTACCAGTGAGAATTTTTTGTGGTTGGTTGTTATACATTGTTATTGTGGCAGTACCTGACTGATACAAGTGGTGACAGAGGACATCCTTTCTTAATTCTGATCCCAATGTTTTACTATTAAGTATATTTGCTACAGTATATTTTATAAAGATACATTTTGTAAAAGTAAGGTAATCCCTTTCTATTTCTCCTTTGCTAAAAGTTTTTAATGTGAATGGACGTTGAATTTGTATTAAATGCTTTTTCTGCATCTATTAAGATTATCATATGATTTTCAAGTGTTAATGTGGCAAATTACATTAATTTTATTCTGTGTGTTAACCCTACTATTATTGATCATACATTAAAACAGCTTATCTGTATCTATATATGTAGCTCATTATTTATTATATATTAAATATATTTCTGGATTCAGTATGCTAATATTTTATTTAGGTTTACTGCATCTAAAGTGACATGGTCATGTAATTATTCTTTTTCATACTGTCCTAGGTGGGCTTTAGTCATCAAGATTATGATAGTCTCATGAATTGCAGAGTGTACACTCTTTATTATTTGGAAGGTTGTGAAAACTGACATCATTTTATTTTTCAATGTGATAACTCACTGGTGCAAGCCATACAGAACTGCAGGTTTTTTAGTGGAAAGGTTTCTAATTGCTAAATCCATTTAACAGTTCTAAGACTTTTTGCTTCCCTATTTCTTCTTGTGCAGTTTTGGTAAGTTGTATTTTGCTAGAAATTTTTATAATTCATCTAAATTTTCAAATTTTTGATAAGGTTATTTTTAATATATTTTCTTTTCAATATCTGTAGGATCTGTAGTGATGTTTCATATTTCATTCTTGACATCATTTATTATTTCCTTTCTTTTTTATTCTTAGTCTCACCAAGGTTTATCAATATTGTTAGTCTTTTCAAGCAAAAACTTTTTACTTTTGTTGATCCTACTGTACAGATGTTTTATATTGTGTGCACCTAAGCTCTTATCTTTAGTATTTCCTTCTCTATTTTCTTTAGGTTCATTTTGTTGTTCTTCTTCAAACTCCTTGAGATGATTGCTTTGTCTTTAATTTTTAGCCCTTCTTTTTTCTAATACATACATTTAAAGCTATAATTAATACTAACTTTAATAAGTACTGCTTTAGCTGTATCCAACCAGTTCCACACGTAGTATTTTTGTTTAGTTCAAAATAAGATACACACACACACTGGAATGCTTTGCAGCTGTAAAAAAACAGAAGAAAGCTATGCATTAATATAAAAATAGATCTAAGATACATTGCAAAGTTAAGAAAAACATTGCAGTACAGTATGAATTATTCCTATCTTTTGTTAAGAATGGGGGTGGGGGAGTGGCTTCTTTTCTGGTCTCATAACCAATTGTTCTTATCCAATAACATCTTAAATAGGTAATTATTGGATGAGTTAAAGTCACAAAAATAAAAAAAATTTCTGCATATTCTGATTTACTCCATAGAAACATGATTAAAGGATTATATAAAGAAAAGCACCATTTCATGGACATAAATGAGTTAAATAAGGGATGGGGAGGATGGGAAGAGAGCAGGAGTATTAACAGAAAGGCTTATAATAATTTCAACATTTTTATTTGCTCACAACATTCTGAACAAAATGACATCACATTTCAACTATTGCTTTTACATAAGAAGTTAATTGATTTACCCACAGTAGACAAAAATCTATTTCTTTAAATTGCCAACTAGCACTTTTTCCCCCAGGGAAAGCTACTGCTTAGATATTTTTTGAATACTTTGTTTAACAGAAACATAGAATCTCCTTATAGTAGCAGTTAGGTTTTACCTGCACTACATTTAAAATTTTTCTTGTCAAAAGCTGAAGCCAGAAAAAAAAAAAAAGCTCACTCATGATTTCTCTCAGATTTTTAACAATTCCATTAATCTTCATTAAGAAATTGCTTGTGTGGAGAGGTTCATAAATATGAAAATGGAGATTAAGTCTCCCCAGACTTGTTCATAGAGAAGTTGGGTGGACTATTTATCCTGAGAAAATAGCTGCTGGTCCCCAATCATTTGTTCAAGAAGTTTAATAAACATTATTGCCCTCTAAGCCAAACCTCTTCTCTTCTGTGCCTGATAACGTGTCATCTTTTCTGCTCTGGCAATGAGCGTTCCACTTTTCACACCCATATGCTTCTACTTTGAGCAAATCTTTGACCAAGTTATATTTCACTGAATGCAAAGAGGAGAAACAGTACATAAACAATTATGAACACTGGAATAAAAATGAGAAGTACATATATTTTCACATAGAAAAATACATACAAATTCAAGTGGCTCTTAAAATAGAAAAAAAATCAGAATGGGGATTTTCAAGAAAAAGTTTCTGTTTTCTAAACTGTAAATGGTGCCAGTAAGACACTGATTTTTATATTTAACTATATCACCATATTTATACACAAAGAGAGGTTGGTCTAGGTTCACTGTTATCCCCTGATTTCTCTAATTTCTTTAAAGATTGTCTTTCAGAACATATTTGAACTACAACTATTGTAATTATATTTTTAGACTATTCTGGCCACTGACATACTCTCTTCAATCTGGCATATACAAAAATTCATTTCAACATTGATTCACTTTTTTGCTGCTAAAACAAACATAATTTTCCTGCTACTTCAATTCTATTACTACTTTGGTATTTTATTAATTATTATAGCAACAGGTAAGATTCTAAATATGGACTGTAAGACTACATAAAATTCAAACACATATGTTGAAAGCAAGGAAAAGTAGGACGGCAGACACAATTACCCTATTCTTCTTTTCATGTATGTCACTATCACATAAAAGTCAGAAGGCTCATGTCACATTCTAATTTACAGCTAGTAACATTTAGCTTGGCTTCCAGACTATCAAATCTTAGAATTTGTGGGTGGTTTTTAGACCAATTCACTATAGAATTATCTGAAATTATTACTGATTTTTTAGGCAAAAACAGAACAATATCTACATTGTACAAACAGACGTGGATTTATAGAACATATTATTGAGCAAACTTTCTAAGGACATTTTTTAAACATTATTAAAAAGTTTTTTTCTCCCTCGAAGGGGAAAAACTTAATTACTTAAGTTTCCCCTTCCATACTTCATTCATTCTTTTATTAAGCATACAAATAAAGGTTTAAAATCAGATCAAGATCTCAGCTGTTGAAAGATTAAAATATAAAGATAAGTATTTCAGCAGGAAAATTAAAAGACTAACAGAATTGTTTTCCATGTAATAGTGAACATCTTGAGAAAATGAACTTTAAGGGTTATTACCTGATCCTTATCAGGATTTTGCTACATCGCATGGAACTTTAGCTGGATAATAAAGCATTGAAAGCAATAAAAAAATTAATATACTCCCAAGGTTGAGAAGTCCCCTACAAGAAACCAATTTTTAAATTCCTATAATACTGAAAAGCTAAAATGTTACTATTATAATAAAATAAACCCAATTTAAAAAATAGTATTACCTTGGGGCCGGCCCAGTGGCACAAGCAGTTAAGTGCGTGTGCTCCGCTGTGGCAGCCTGGGGTTTGCCAGTTCGGATCCCGGGCGCACACCGACGCACTGCTTGGCAAGCCATGCTGCGGCGGCATCCCATATAAAATGGAGGAAGATGGGCATGGATGTTAGCCCAAGGCCAGTCTTCCTCAGCAAAAAAAGAGGAGGATTGGCAGATGTTGCCACAGGCTGATCTTCCTCACCAAAAAAAAAAAAAAAAGTATTATCTTGTAGGGAAAATAATAATTTTAACACATGCACTTTTAATGTATGTGCTGTACAACACCGCATCTGTTGTTTTCCAATAGGATATTTTTTACCACTCTTCTCTTTGGCAAGTTTGAAGATAGGAGTTTATCAATAGACATGAACAAACCCTTGCAAGTCGCAGGTCTTGCTATATCACATAAGAGCAAGTCCTTAAACACTTGATATATACTAGGTTAAAAGGTGTGCTAAATAGCATCATGTTTTAGATTAAATTATGTCTTTAACAGGTTGGTTTCTGTAGGATTTAAGGAGAACTTGGTAATCAGATGAGCCTATCTTTAAACTCTTTCAGTTTTGCTATGAATACAGACGTCTAAAACACACAAAGAACCCATTCCCATTAGCATCTCATCACTCTATAATCTTTGACAGCACTTGCTGCCCTCCTGAGATTTTAGGGGAATACAGCTATACGAAATGCACAGTCATCATCCTCAGGCTACTTTAGAATCCCACAGACCGTTAACTCAAAAAATACCCATAAAGTCCAGAAATCATTATCTAGAAACACTATGGAGTCAAAGCAAAGAGAAGCAAGAGTTAACAGTAAGTCAAATAAACCAATGATATTTAAGCAAGATTTTTAAAAAGCTTTAAGTTTTCCTCTTGTTTAAGTTCAAAGACAGCTTTATTGAAATAGCAACTGTCCTTTGAATACAATGAAGATTTTCTTAGCACATACATCTCTTTTCATAAACACACACAGGTAGAGAGGCCTCATAAGAGGCCCTCACATCAAGCACTACAAAGGTTCTTTTCTACAACTGATAAAAAGCAAATACTGAAGATGAGAAAATGTCTTTAAGCTTTAAAATAACACTACGACATTTTAAAGTGTGGTATTTAAAAACAAAAAAGCTAGGCACCAATACTGTCATTCTCTCATTAACTGTAATGCTAACTAAGCAGAGAAACCAAAAAGGAGACCATGATTCTTCATCCTCTCTGACATACCTATGTTCCCGTTGCTACTAATGAAGCAACATTATGATATGTGATTGAGATGAAAACAAAGAAAACCAGGAAGAACGACTCTCCCTGTTAATTAACCTAGAAATAAAATAAGACAAAGAAAATAAAAAACAATCATTTCCAAACTAAAAACCAAAAAATCTTAAAAGAGCTTTGAAAAGATATTATCTTGACAGCTACAACACATAAAAATGAAAACTGACTTTTACACATTTTAATCAACCAATTTAATACAAATACCTGATTTGTACTTTGACACTAAATGGGCTAAATCCCAAGTTCCAAACTGTAGTTCAGTGACTCACAGAGTGGTTCTTTGGAAGGATAACGTACCTTTGGAGGACAGTGTATAAACAACTGTAAACATACACTGATTGTCCACTAGCTTTCTTAAATAGAATTTCTGAAATATTTTTGTAGGAAATTATATATAAGAAGTGTAATTGATCAGATAATTTCTATTATAACAGATAAATTCTGTAGTGTGTGCAACATGTGGTAGAAATAGAAGATACGATGGATGATTTATATCTTTAAAGCAAGTGATACATTACAATCCAGTAAAAGTCCTTTAATCTTTTCATGAAACTTCTCTCTATATATGTTGAAGTACATAATGCTTTCTGGCTTTTCTTCAAACCAAAACTTATCAAATTCATAGACAAGGTAACCTGCAGTTAAAGAAAAATAAAACATAAATATAGTGCTCAATAGTGAAATCACACCCAAATCATCTCGTTTTCAAAGTATGTAACCATACTTTAAATTCCATAGTAGGATACAATAATCAGAAATCATCTTAAGCTACTAGAAACCTGAGGAACTTTACAGAAATATTTTCTTATGTTCAAAATAAAGAGTAATTTCAATAAAATATTTAGTGTACATTTACAATTCGTCTCAGAAATCAATAAAATCCATCAAACTTATCAGGTACAGTAATTTCAGAAGATACCTCGAGAATAGTAAAAAAGTGATACCCAGAGAAACAAAAATGAAAGCAACAAGAAAATGTTGGATAAGGATAAAGTAAGGAAAGTTGTTTTGTACTTGATTTCTAAATCTGAGTTATTTCTACTTTTTTCAATGAACTATCAGCACCTTCTCCTTTTAAAAAGAATATATGAACTCTAAAGAGGCTTAATTAACATTTTTGTTTTTCAATATTCTCATTACAGTAGCCAAATTAACCCTCAAAATGTTAAAAGTATTTAATAAAAACAAACATGTAGGGGATGGCCCCATGGCATAGCGGTTAAGTGCGCGCGCTCCGCTGCTGGCGGCCCGGGTCGGATCCCAGGTGTACCAACGCACCGCTTGTCAGGCCATGCTGTGGTGGCGCCCCACATAAAGTGGAAGAAGATGGGCACGGATGTTAGCTCAGGGACAGTCTTCCTCACCAAAAACAGAGGAGGGTTGGCATGGATGTTAGCTCAGGGCTGATCTTCCTCACCAAAAAAAAAAAAAAAAAAAAAAAAAATACAACAAAACATGTAAATAGATACATTTATAACAACAAAAAAAAATGTGAATGTAAAACCACTCCTAAACCCTATTTGGATTCAACCAAGTATATTAATTAATCATTTAACGAATGCTACCACAGTGCTCGCCACGTGCTCCTCCACTCTCAGAGCAATCCTATGACACAAGTCCTGTTATTCTCATTTTACTGAGGAGGAAACAGAGGTACAGAGAGGTTAAATGACTTGCCTAAACACATAGTTTGCAAGTGGTCTCTATTATGTTATAAATTAGACTTTGTTCCACCAGAATCTCATTTTCCCCTCTGAAAGGCTTTTCAAAAGAAAAAGGACAGAAGTGACTTATTTAAGATAAATGGGGGAAAAAGCCAGTGACTTCACACAAAAGTGTGGCTAGACTATCACAAATTGCCTAGCATGAAAAAAACATAAATTCCATTTTAAAACATTAGTCACAAAGCAAACATTAACAGTTAAGAACAATGACATTTCAACACTGAAATATCACTTACAAGAAGGTCAACTTAAGAAATACTTCGGATTAATCTCTTGATATATGACAAAACAGATTTTTGTCAACCAGGGTATGTGAGAAAATCAAAGAAGAAGGCCTCTTTGAGCTGAGGGATGCCATCTGCTTCTTGTTCCCAAAAGACAAGCTGAGAATGGCAGTCTGGTAATTATTAATAATACTATTATTTTTTTGTTGAGGAAGATCGGCTCTGAGCTAACACTTGTTGCCAACCTTCTTCTTTTTGCTTGAAGAAGACTGGCCCTGAGCTAACATCTGTGCCAATCTTCCTCTATTTTGTATGTGGGATGCCTCCATAGCATGGCTTGAAGAGTGGTGTAGGTTCAAGCCCGGGATCCAAATCCACAACCCAGGCTGCCAAAGTGGAGCGTGCTGAACTCAACCACTACGCCACCAGGCTGGCCCTGCAATTATTTTTAAGTAATATTTTTTATCTTTATTTCATTCGAAACTCATTTTGTGTATACACCAGGACAATAATACATCTATAGAAGTTACCCATATATATATATAAATTGAATCTGTGCTCTCCCTGACCCCAAATACACTGATAGAGAGGTACAATCAAAAAATCTGGAGATTAATGTTCTGGGTAGTAGGAAAAGTCAGACATCCACCCAAATTTTATGGTATACCATTTGTTTTAGTATTTCTGGCTATTAGGTTTTAGCTATTCATCATTATTAAAAGTCCTTTAAATTGTTTTTCATTACTTTCAGGAATGTGGCCTATTCAAATGACTATATAGGTCTGGAACAAACTGCTCAAGTATAAAGTACTAAAAATTTCTTGCTTCAGAATGAGGTTATTGGTCTATAATGTAAATTGGTGTCAAAGAAAGACTGACTCAAAGAACTAAGACTATAATGGCTAAGTTGATTTAATGAGACATCAGGAAATTGCAGGAGATAATACCAAAATTCTAGAAAGCTGGCAAAGCCATACATGGCATAAGACTCCTAAAGCTTTGCAGAAAGTGATAGAAGAGATGTTTCCACAAAGCACATCTACTGTCCTTTTGACTCTAGGAGGTTTAAAACACTAGACTCAATAGAAATACCACACAAAATTTGTAAACTTAAAATTCCCCGTACACTTCCACTGCCTCTAACCAAAGCCACAGGGCACTTGAGGTTTTTGTCATAGAAGTTAAAAATAAGGAACCATAGGAACAGGGATTACCTGTAAACCAGCCTGAAGGATCTTATTGGGGTGATAAAAATGTTTTAAAACTGGACTATGGTGATGGTTGCACAACTCAGTAAATTTACTAAAACTCATTGAATTACACAATTAAAATGGGTGAATTTTATGGCATATAAATTATACTTCAATAACGTTGTTATTAAAGCCATAACTTTTTTGTTATACAAACTTGAGGAGTTTTTTTGGAACCAACAAACCAGCAGTTAGCAACTTCCTAGGATGACAGCACATATCTGCTTACATTTTAGATGTACAAGAGGGTGACAACGGAGCTAAGAAGCTAAGTTACTACTCACTGTTTCCAGCCTTGCCTATAGAGAAAAACAACACCAAAATGGCAGGAGGGATAAAGGGGAAAAGGGGGAGATGGAGACAGATCACAACAAAATAAAAAATGTAAAAGCCAATCTCTTCATAGATAATCTCTTTCTTCTAGATAGAAACTATGACCTTGGAACTGATTTGTGCAAACAAACTGGGCCCACTCCCCCAACAAAAAAGGTATGTGTGCCCAAAAGATGAGATTTCAAACTATTTTCTAGTTAGAGTGATATCAGCATCACAGCAGAGCAAGCTCTTCCCTTAGACTCTCCCCTCTAAGATACAACGAAAAGGACATTCATAATCCAACTCACAAGATGTCTGAGAGACCCACGCAGCCACACGTCTGAAGGTGGAGGTGCTGGACCTCCCTGGAGGAAGTGGAAGGAAGCAAGGGGATCTCCTCTCCCTCTGGAACACCAGTGACCCAGGGCACAGGACCGTGCATGGCTCTGAGAAAAGAGGGGAGAGGCAGCTCTCCACAAAAATACCTTTGCTCTCCAAGCTCCCTCACAGACCATGGGAAAGCCCCATGCAGAGGTGGCTAAGCTATTGCAGTGGTGTCTTCATCAAACCAGCACCTCAGGAGAGCAGACAGTGAGGGCAGAGTGAGAACACCCCTGGGATCTTGCACATGAAAGAAAGCACCCCTCCCCTCGCCCTGCGCTCCAGCTCAGCCAGTCAGCCAGAGTGCCTGACCATACGTTAGAAAAGTAGCAGCTGTGAGCAAGCAAATTGGAAATCGCAGACAGGACCTTTCAGAGTAGATTCTAAGGACAGGCACAGATGCCGGGGGTTGCAGCAGGCTCAGAATACACAGCTCTTGACCCTGTGGTGGCAGGTGGAAGCTGCGACCAGATACTATCATTATGCAAAGGTACAAATCCATGCCATCGAATAGTAAGAAGAAATATATTAATACTCCAGACCAGAAGGAAAATGACAAGCACCCAGAAATCTATCCTGAAAGCACTGAAATTTATAATCTAAATGACAGAGAATGCAAAATAGCTATCATAAAAAAATGAGTTACAAGAAAATACAGATAGTTCAATGAAATCAGGAACAAAATTAATGAACAGAGGGAATTCTTTGAAACTATAAAGAAAAACCAATCAGAAATGTTGGAGATGAAAAACACAATGGATGAGATAGAGAAAAATCCAGACTCCCTGAATAACAGAGCTGATATTATGGAAGAGAGAATTAGCCGTCTGGAGGAGAGAAATATAGAAATGCTTCAGATGGAGGAGGAGAGAGAACTAAGACTAAAAAGAAATGAAGAAATTCTCTAAGAAATATCCAACTCAATTAGGAAATGCAACATAAGGATTATAGTTATTCCAGAGGGAGAAGAGGAGAATGGAGCAGAAAGCTTGTTCAAAGAAATAATAGCTGAGAACTTCCCAAACCTGGGGAAGGAGCTGGAAATACAAGTAAAAGAAGCTAAAAGAACTCCTAATTATATCAATGTAAAAAGACCTTCTCCAAGGCATATAGTAGTAAAGCTGGCAAAGGTCAATGACAAAGAAAAAATATTAAGGGCAGCAAGGCAGAAGAAAATAACATACTAAGAAACCCCTATCAGGCTTTCAGCAGATTTCTCAGCAGAAAACTTACAAGCTAGGAGAGAGTGAAATGATATATTCAAAACTTTGAAAGACAAAAACTTTCAGCCAAGAATACTCTATCCAGCGAAAATATTCTTCAGATATGAGAGGGAAATAAAAACTTTCCAAGATAAACAAAATCTAAGGGAGTTCATCACCACAAGACACCCCCCTACAAGAAATGCTCAAGAAGGTCCTCATACCTGAAAAAAAAGGGGGGTTAAAAAGCCTTGAGCAAGGGGATAAATAGGTAGACAAAATCAGAAAATTGCAGCTCTCTATCAGAAGAGTTTAGCAAACACTTAATTATAACACTAAAGATAAAGAGAAGGAAAACATCAAAAATAAATACAATCTCGTCATTTTATCCACAAACTCACAACACAAGATGGAATAAGTTGTGACAACAATAACTTAGATGGGGAAGAGGAATGGGATGGAATCGGCTTAGTCTAAGGAAATAAGAGGCTATCAGAAAACGGACCATCTCATCTATGAGATTTTTTATACAAACCTCA